CTGATCTATCGGATCCCAATAGGCTCCCTTGTCGTCGGCGTCAAGTTATTTTCTCTCTCCTCCAGCGCAATTGTCCTTATGGTTCAACCTGTCATCTTTCAGAAATTTCAAACTGTAGCTAGCTTCGCGCCATTCCTCGTCAGTAGCCTGGCATTTGCTGCCCTGACACCCATCCTACTGCATGTATTGACTCGGTCCTGTGTCTTTCAAGTCTACTTTAATCCGGAGACTGAACAGTATACTGCCTACACAAAGTCTATATTTTTGCGGCCTAGACGTCTTACCTTTAGCCAGTCCGACGTCTCCTACTCTGTTGCCAGTCTGAGTTTCGCTAATATGACTGTGAAAGGGCGACCGCTCTTGATTCTCGATGCTGGCTTCACTGACTCTGAAAGTCGCATCAAACTTCTCGGTCTGGATAAACCGATAGAACTTTAAAACTCGTCATGTACATAGAATCGCACGCTGACCTTTCTACATAAATAGAAGCCTATATCGCCTCTTTCCCTTTTGTTCTCTTGCTCTTTATTACTATCTGCGATAATTTGTTTAATCTTAGACCACTCGAAGTACTGCTGTGTTGGCTTCTGGAAAAACCAGCCTTTTGTGGGGTCGGATTATTTTCCGGCACTTCGCTTCTGCCAGTAAGCATGGCATCCGTCTAGAGCAAAGTGCGAAAGCCCGGGCATCTGGACATACGGTTAGTTTTAATCACCTAGTTTTTGGTTATAAACCTGCTGCTTTACTTGTTGGTACGTGATAGTCTATGGGCATTAAAAAATGACAATGATCGCAACAGTTATACAGCTCTGTACAATATGTATATATCTATATATACATGTATTTACGCCTGTAATATGGTAGCCGTTGAGCGGTTTCTGGCGGGTTACAAGAGCGAGCCCGAAGGCGCAAGGGGACGAGTGAGTTCCTTAATCGATCGGTGAGCGCCTATCTACCATTATAAATGCTCGTTCCACTGTGTCTAAGAGCTCAATCTAGAACCCCCCAAAGACAGTCAAATTGCGACTAGTAGTATAGGCAGATACGGGGATACTGACAAAGACAACGGAGACCGGAATGGCTATTACTGGGTTATTAGCTGTCCTCAGCCGGTCATATCTAAGCCCTGGTGTATATCACTTGAAATCCGAACCCGTGGTCTTTAGCAATTGAGTCGGTTTTTTGCTTGAAAGCCCGGTGCGTTGAGGGGACCGGGTCATATGAAGCACGCTATGTAAAAGCCCAATTCTAACAAATTTCAGCATATTTTAATGATGAAAAGGCGGCGATAGAAGCAGGTCCTTCTAGCATGGTGTTAAGACGTCGAAGCAACAACTTTACATATTCTTAATTTGGAGGGCCTTTGGGGGATAAAATGGGCTGGAGATAATTTCATTGTAAGTAAGACGATCGACGATATTGCACACGAGTTCTTCATTCCCACTAAAATGACATAAATTCCGCGTATCAACATTTTACAGGTTTGTTTAGCAGGGGAGGTGTTACTGGCAATATATCAGCAAGTCTCTAGTTCTTCGTCGGTAGTCATGATGATGGAATGCCCATTGCCATCAAGCTCGATGAAGAGTTGCGTGTCAGCTTTAGATTTCCTTAGTGCAGCGCGTGCGATCTTGGGAAGCACTTTGCGTTGAGCTCCGTTTTTTGGCCGCATCGCTGGGCAGGTATTAAATGCTGGCGGCGTGAACTTATTAACCTTACCGCATCCGTCCTCATCACTGGCACTATGGGGCGGTCTTTTGTGGGGAAGATTTAGTGAAGCTGGGCAGGATCTCAGGCAAATGCATATCGTCGAGCTCCTGGACCTGCGCCTAGAAGTTAAAGTTCGAAGCACCAATTAATAAACATCAGGCTGATCTGATCGCGGAAGCCGTTCTCAGAGACTTCGGCAATTATGGGTCGTAACCCCATAATTCAAAGTACGTTTCGTAGGCGACAGCAAGAATAGTAAAACTGTTCTGGGTTGAAGTGATCCATAAACCAAAATGCACCATCAGGCAGCAAGCAACAACATAGCACTCTGAAATTTGTTAGAAAGCATGTTGGTCGGAAAGGCCTCGAAGGGGATGGAGGTCTTGTGGGCTCGCCCGCGGTTTGTCACGAGCGACGTCCACCGTATGCTCCACAGCAGGGTGGTGCAGAGACAGTGACTTGTGGGTGAATTAATTGAAAGTGATGGTAGACTTGTGCAGCATCTACCGCACCATTTCCTCCTTAACCCACCTGAGCCCGTTTTCAAGACAGAGTAAAGAAGACCGGAGCGTGATCGAGCGCAGTGCCTGACAGGGCCGATGAACCCGTCTACGCGGGCCACAGTACGACCTGGCCCCTTTGACACGCACACACCTGAATTTGCACAATCGGAGGATTGGAAGGAGCTGTCGCCGTATCAGCTCCAGTCAACTCATTAGCAATTGCACATACTAAGCTGATGGTGTGTCTGGTAATGCATTGGCTGGCTGCCTTCTTAGCCACAGTACACCCGGATAGTCTCAGACTCGCAAGACTTGTAGCAGAGAAGCTGTTTGGACTTATTAGTAATATACATGCTGATCAAACACCTTTCCAATTGCGGGGTTGTAGTATGAGGCTGATGGTGAGGCCAAAAAAATAAAGGGTAAACACGAACAGTCACAAAAAACCGCATAAAAACGCTGAAAAACTAAGGGAAGGGCCGACCGTCTCGTAGTTGCGTTATTCGGCAGCGGGAACGTCGTTGAAACGCGTCTCGGTGTTTAGATAGCACCGATTTATGGCATAGGGCAAAAGCCTCTGTCATACAAAATTATACCATGAGTAGTACTGCTTGTCTGTGGAATAGGCATCGTGTGGTTATTCCGCAGAAGTTAATTTTTTCCATTTAATTATTTACTGACATTTTTGAGCTGATTCTACAGATTCATGTTCCGTACATTTAATTCGATGCCACAACTTTTTGAAAATTAGTTGCTTGATAGACACATGTATTTAACTATCCGAATAGACTTTTTAAATAGACATATATCTGAATTCCAAGCTCTAAGGATCTTTTGATGCGAGTTTTGCGAACTCAGCGACCTCGTAGAGGTCCAAACCCACGACATCAATTGCAAGGCTTGTGTGCAGCCAACGACTCCCGGTCGGGTCATCGTAGCTCACGTGGTTAGATCGTTCGTTGTGCTCAATACTTGCACTTGCCGTGGTTTC